TACAAATCTTTCTTCTCATTGAACTAAGAGAAAGTAGCTGTATATCTTATTTTGTGTACACAGATACAAAATGGTCCTTCATTTATATCCCCTTTTTTTGTTTAGTTTTGTCAGAGATGGGTGTTCCATTGCCATTTAAATATTGTAGGTGCATAAATTCAGCAAAATAATCCAATATAGTCCAGCATCTCTTAACTGTCCTCTAAACACTTCCTCTCAGATTGCCTGGGCTCTTTATTGGTAAAAGGTGTGTCATGGATGAGCTGTGGAAGTGAATGTTTATGTCCCAAATTTAACATAAGATTACAAAATGAAGACCCCACTTTTAAATACGAATGGTGCTTTAAAATTTTTTGAAAATTCCCTTTAGAAATCAAAGTTTCTTGATTTTAGATTTAGGGAAGATCGTGTTCTGGGGTCATCATTGGGACTCCAAGGTATCTGAGTTTTCTGTCTTTAAGAATTGACTGCCCATATTCAAAGATGGGCACCACATTTACTGACCCTTAGGCTTTGGGCACATTGCTTAACCTCTTGGTTCTGCAGCTTCCTCATTTGTAAAATGAGGGTAATAAATAGCACAGCTGCCTTCAGGATGGAATGATGATTCAGTGCACTAATTCATGTTGAACACCTAGCTCTTTGTATAAACTGCTATTTAATAATAACTTCCAGGCTTTGTGTAGCTTCGTTGGTAGCTTAGCATGTATGAAACCCTGGATTTGATCCCTAGCATATAAATAATCTCTGTTTTAATTAATAGTACTTGCACTCTCTTTACAGACAGAGCTTATAATGGATGCTGCCCATAAACAAAGGAACTTACAATTCAAGAAAACCATGGATGTGAGTCATACTTTATTGCCTTTTTTTCCTGGAGGTGGATAATAGTGGCATTTTCAGAAATACTATGCTAGGTATGAGCATATTCCTGCTCCAATAGCATTTCAACAGTGTTATTATTTGTGTAGTGTTTTAGGGAAAACAATCTTTAGTGCTTTGGCTTTCCTTTTTAAGGCCTTGGAAAGCTTAAAGATGAAATGAGATAATAAAAATGCAAAAAAAAAATGCAATGGTGTTATCTTTCTGATAGCCTAGGAAAATAAAGCAAATCAGTTTAAATATTTAAGGCTGAGATGCAAAAATATGTGTATGGAATTATGCCATTTATTTTAATTTGAGCCTTTATTCTGTGGCTATTTTCAGTCTTGATGGTTTACCTCTCATTGAGTGGCTCTTTCCTGCTTTACCATAACTGGAAATTGTAGAAGTCTTCTTTCCCTCAA